GAGTCTAAGATTCATTGGCCCGTATAAGATTATAAAAAGAGTTGGTCAATAGTTTATCAATTAGCATTACCTCTGAATATGGATAAAATTCATAATGCGTTTCATGTATCGATGCTTCAGAAGTATTGATCAATCCTTTGCATGTTATTACACTGGAGGAAATTCAAATTCAACTGAATTTGTCATATTAAGAAGAACCAATGAAGATCTTAGCTCGTGGAGTCAAAGAACTGAGAAATAAGATGATTAAACTTGTAAAAGTTCATTGGTGGAATCATAAAGTTGAGGAAGTGACCTGTGAATGAGAGAAAAATATGAAAAAATAGTTTCCTCAACTTTTTACATCAGTTTCCTAGTAGAAGTATCGATACTCTACCCTAGGTATTGATACCCCCTTGAGTACTAATACCAAAAATGGCTATTAGAATCTGATTTATTCCCCCAATATCGATACCACCTTATGGGTATCGAAACAAGAATTGTAGTATCGATACTTCCTTCGTAATATTATGTTATTTTTACCCTAGTTGAAGAATAGTATCGGTATTGTTCTTCCAATACCGATACTCATGCCAGAGAATGGTCTATTTTAGGCACGAAAGATGCCAACTTTTGGCTCAAAATATCCTACTAAGGTTCCCAATTGTTATTAGAGTGTTATGTATGATAATGGGGATCATAATGTCTCAATAAACATGTTGAAAATGCCCAAACACTGAAATCTACCATGAACATGCTTCAAACTTATGTAACCTACCAAAACTTATCTAGTGATCTACAAGTGGTAGAGATGAGTTAAAATTTAGTTACCTTGAGTATCTAGCCTGCTGGAAGTGTCCAAGGCTCAGCCCAAGACAAGTTTTTCTTTCCCTATAGCTTTGGAGCTATCTCCAAATTTTCTCACTAAGCAAGAATCAAATACAATGGTTACTAGCTGAGTTTAGAGTTTTATAAAGCTTTGAGAACACTTCCTAAGACTAGAAATCACTGGAAACAGATTAAGTCCTTCAAGTTCCTTTAACCCTCATAAAACCCATTTTTGAAAACCATGGCCAAAGCATGTGTTTGAGAGCTTGAATTGAAGCAAAAGGAACAAAGATTATGATTCTTACCTTTAGGTTATTGAACTAAAGTTGCAAGGTTACCAAGTTATTAGCTTTAACTTATATATTTGATGGAAAAAAGAGAGAGAATATGAAGGCTTAGAAAGGGAAGAAAGTGACAAAGGAGAGTTGGGAAAATAAAGGAGAAGTCAGATGTGAGAACACCCAAATTAATAGGTTTTCAGCCTTTCAAAATAAAAATGATTTAATTACCTCTTTGGTCCTCCTGATATTGGTTACAAACTATGTGCAAGTATACACAGTTGCACAAGTAATAAAGAGTGAGTGCCTTTACACTCTCTGGAGTCAAGGAACCTAAGAGATGCAAATGCCACTTCAATACCTCTCGATATGAATAGTAACATCAAACCTATCAAGTCTGAACTACTCCTTTTAGTCGTTGAAATCCTACCTCAGTTTATCTAGAACACTACGTTGGATTAGGCTCTAGTTATTAGCTAAAACCTATTTCACACATAGATCCTCCCTTAGTTTCTCTTGAACACTAAGGATCTATAACCTAGTTTCTCTTGAACACAAAACAATATACTTAAGAAATGGACACTCTCATACCTCCTACAGTCTTAAGTAATTATGCACAATGAGCAAAACAAATAAATGGACATAAAAACTCAAAACATTCATTTAAAAAAAAACTAAATCATCCATAATAACCCACACCAAATAAAGTTCAGTTCATGGTGGGGTTCAAAATATCCAAGTGAATAAATCGTTCCTTACAAACCAAGTAAATTGAAAGAAACTTACATCCCTAGCCTACCTTGAATACTCGAGGGTCTTGAGGTAAGAACTGGAATTTTACATGCATCAAAAGCTTACATCCCTAGCCTACATGTAGTTTCTTAAGTATTGGATGTGATATAAAATTTTACGTGCATCGGATGCTTACGTCCCTAGTTGACATGTAGGTTTTCGAGTATTGGTGCAATCCAAAATTTTACGTGCATCGTATGCTTACGTCCCTAGTTGACATGTAGGCTCTTGAGCATTGGGTGCAATCCAAACTTTTACGTGCATCGGATGCGTGTGCCCAACCAACTTACTTCATCGAGTCCTGAGGCATCTATGCTTAATTGACAACTGAGGTGCCTCACTATTAGAACTATATCTGAATATTACATCTTGAAGGACAATAGTCATACTGCTAAAGAAACTCGGGTGGCTGGGCTATTTCCCGAGTGTCACATAATGGCCAGTTTTATGAAATCTTACCTTATAAGGTTCTTATGATTGTCACACATTGTATTATTATCTTATTACTAATTTCTCTTTATTACCAAGCTCCCTCATAGCGTTAACATCTAGACACACACATGTCATACAATGCCAAGCAATGGAAATCATAATAACTCGATTACTCGTTACCGAACTTATCAAGTCAGTTAAGGTCATCCCCTTACACGACACTATCTTACTTGTTCCTTCATCTAGAATGATATACAAGGTTTATTAATATGTTATTAGGCTTCTCTAATCCTACTATTCGTTAATTAAGGGCATCTTACTCATTTCTATCTCTAAGGACATATCTATGTGTTCTATGATTTTTTTTACGTTTACTATGTTTGTTGTTCACTGCCTGGATTACTAGCTAGCCCGATACTTGACTCGGGTTCATCACTAGGTAGTGACACTCTAATTGCTCTTATCGTAATTCTCCCCAATACCCCTTGAATTGAAAGGACGGCTTATACGTTCCCTTTCATTGACGTTCTTGAAGTTCAAGCTTTCTGTCATTACTGAATCTAACTTACTTATTGTATCGATTGTCGGTACAACCTCTGTAATGATTCTTTTCTCAACTATCAAATACATGGTTGAATGAATATACTTTGAAGTATTATGCTTAGTATGGGTACATCGGTTGTAACCTACTTTTATGAGTGTTTTGCCCTATGCCATTTATGTCCCTCAAGGACTAAATTCTCCTATTACGAATCATCCTTAGCTCATATGGGCCTTTAAGAGGTCAATTCTAACTATCCAAAGTGGGTAGTATCGATACTCTACTTGCAGTATCGATACCCTAGGGTCAAGTATCAATACCCCTATAAATATCGGTACCAAAAATGCATTTTGTTTCTAAAATTTAGGCTCAGTGTTGATATTATCAACCTAAGTATCGATATAGTAGGGGAAGATCAATACTCTCCCCAACAGTATCGATACTCCTCAAATTATATCATGATTCATCCAATATTAATATTGGCCATCTAGTATAAAAATGTCTTATTTAGGGAGTTACTTAGGGAGTTACTTAGGGTCTTATTTTGGTTCCTACTCACATGCTAAAGCTTTAGGGAGTTACTTAGGGTTATAAAGTTGCATAAAAATGTCTTCTTTACATCAAATTCGTCATCTATTACATGAATCAAGTATGAAACCCTACAATGCTTAAATACTCTAATCTTAACAAAACATCATACTTATGAAAGCCTTAACACTCCAAATGACTAAGAATACACTACCTTGATGTTGGAATCCTGAAATGAAGCTCCTTTAAACACCAAACACTTTCCTCTAGGGCTTGGATGATAAAACCTCCACTTTCTATTGCAAAACAAGAAACCCAAGCTTTAATCATTTAAACAATGTTTAAGGAGAGATTATGGCCGAATTCGAAACATGGAAGAGGCTCAAGAACTTACCTTGAGCTATGGAGCTTGGAGAGGAAGAATGAGGAAATAAGAATGAAGAGAAATGAAGGGAAAAAGAAGATAAAATGAGATAAAAGTCCTCATCTTTGCAAAATGGAAAAATTACGCTTTTGGTCATTCTTCATCTTTCCACTATTCAAAAACACTCTCTTATTGGCTAATTGGGCCCAAGTCCAACCCAATTAAGCCCAACTCGACCGAATGACTTAAATTATGAAATTCACAAGGTCCACATGCCTCTCGGGTAAACCCGAAACTAGTAGCACACAATTTGAGGTGTTACAATATGAAAAATATATGAAATAATAAAATACATTCAAGGTAAAACAAATAATAATTTATCTATCATCAATGTATTGATTAATTGATTAATATGAAATAATATTTATATTATAAAGAATTACTTTTTCTTTTTTAAAATTCATCAATAAAAATTATACGATCAATAATCTATTATAATATTATCAAAGACTAACAAAAAGATTTCAATCAAAATCTAACATGTAATCAAACTGAAATAAGTATATAATCAATATTTAGTCAAAAATATATAATGTATTAATCTATCAAAAAGTATTATAAAATATACTTATATGAGATTGTATTGTATTGACATAATTCAACGTCTAATATTTATCATCTAAGATCTCAAACAAGGAGTCATGTATGACGAATCAATTATTCATTGTAAATAAATTATTACTTCAAAGCAAGTTATGCCGATTATATATTATAAAACTAAAAGAATTAAATAATAAGAAGAAAATATATAAATTAAACAAAGAAATTTATATTATTTTCTCAATATTAATTATATTTAATAAATAATCTAGACTTTTTATTTATAGACATAATGAGTTGATATCATATCAAATTTTTAATAATAATAGATATTAAAGTTTTAATAATAAAATATACGAAAATTATATTTAATACATAGTGTTATAATTATAATAAACATTCACATAGATAGTGTGTATAATACTTAATTATTATTTTATAATATCAACATTAATTACTATGCATAATAATTTAATTAAGCTTAAAAACGATATTATTGATTCTTGAGAATTTGTTAATACTGTTTTCGTTGTATCCTAACAATTATAAAATCACGAAAGAAACAACAAACGTGCAGCTCAAAACTCCATCCTGTGACAGAGAAATTATTTGTCAAAAATCAGTCAACCCTTAAAGCAACCTCCACCGTTGGATATTGATCCTGACTCCGCCCATATCGGTTATACCGCTTGATTGCTCTTCCTTTTCCAATTCAGATCAACCCAGATTCCCTAAAATCCAAAAACCAAAACAAAAATCACTACTTTGACATTACAGAGAAACAGAGGATTTTAAGTTTCTGACAGCAAAAATGGCTGATCAGTCTGATGATTTAGACCAACTTCTTGATAGTATGTTTCTGTATCTAAAACATGTATTTTTTTTCTTATTCTCAATTTATGTTTCTTAAACTTCTGAATTGAACCCTTTTTTTAATTATTATTTCAGGTGCTTTGGATGATTTCCAGAATCTCAATCTCACCTCTCCTCCTCAAAGGTATCATCCTTCTCTCATGAATTTTTATCCCTTTATGTTCTAGGTTTAAAATTTTGGCCCCAAGCTAAAAATTCCCTTTCTAGCTTTTCCCCCCCTCAAAAGTTAGATTTTTTATAAGATATATTGGATAATATTCTGGTACTTTGCCCGAGGTTTTGTTTTTGTTTCCCTTTATATTTGGTTAATAGGTCAGGTGGAGGAGATTGTGAAGCAAAGAAGCAAGAATCTGGTTCTTTAACAAGTGGGGTTCAAGGGTTAGGAATGGGATTGCCTGACTTGAAGAGCAAGAAAAAGGGAAAGCAAAAGGTTTTAAAGGAATCCCATGTCACTGAGGCTCTTGATAAACTCCGAGAACAGACCAGAGAGACTGTGAAAGGATTGGAATCGATGTCAAAACCTGGTGGAGATGATTTTGGCAAGGATGAAATGATGGAGGATTGGGTCAAGCAGTTTGAGGAGCTTGCTGGGTCTCAGGTATATTTGATTCAAATGTTTTCTTGTTCCTTTTAATGCTCTGTTTATCGATCTTTATAGTTATTTGCTGTTGTAGAGTTTTGGGTAGATATTGTATACCTCAGTTTGGTTTTGCTGTAGTTGTGATTTTGGCTCATTAACCTTAAAACTCGAGAGCGAATCGGGTTTTTTGTGATCTTTGATCCTTATTTCTGAAGTTCCAGTTTGACTATTGCTATTATATATTAGAATATAATTCAATTATTTGGATGAGATTTACATGGCTTAAAATTTGATTGTTGGCTCTGGATACTGTTGCCCAGTTGTATGTTGGTGTGGAGAGGGGGCATGGAACGGGTTCTTTGCATTTGAGAAATGTACATTATAAGCTTTCGTCATATAGGAGTACGATAATGTCTGTTATATCTGCTCGAATTAAAGTACCTCAAGTTCATGAATCTTTGAAACTAACCTTCTCCAAGCCCCTCTGAACCCACCTCTCACCTGCCTAAACACATTTCCTGAAAGGAAAGTCGAACTTTCGTTGATAATGATATTCAGTCTAAGCGCTTTGGGTGTATAAATGATCCTCCATTTTTGCAATAGAGGAGGCAGTGAGAGGAGCCCTAAGAAAAACGTTGGCTTTAAAGAGGACGTAATTGTGTTTTTGTGCTCGCTCGTCACTCTTCTCATGGCTCACAAGCCTGGCATCATATTCCCGAAATAGATAGGTTTTCATTCGTTAACTAAAAAATTTTAAATTTTTTGAGTTATATAGCCGATTGAGTCATCTACTTTTAGTAATAGAATTCTAAGTTACTGATTGTTGTATGCACGCTTGCATGGATGTGCAGATACCCAATACATACATACATATGAACATGTATTAATTTAAACAATCGAGGGCTTACATTTATTCTTTCGCGTGTCCTATCATCTAATATGTTGATCATAGTTCCAGTATGTGTTATAAAATTTTTTAGGTTTCACTAGTAGCATATGCTATAAGGGATGATAATTATTCCTTCGTTTTGACCAGGACATGGAATCGATTGTGGAGACTATGATGCAACAACTTCTATCGAAGGAGATCCTTCATGAACCTATGAAGGAAATTGGAGAAAGATACCCACAGTGGTTAGAAGAGAATAAAGCTAATTTGAGCAAAGAAGATTATGAACGTTACTCCCATCAGTATGAACTGATAAAAGAGCTTAACGGAGTTTATGATAACGATACTAATAACTTCACCAGGATCGTCGACCTCATGCAAAAAATGCAAGAGTGCGGTCAGCCTCCAAATGATATCGTGCAAGAGCTTGCTCCTGAATTCGATTTATCCAGTCTTGGCCAACTGTAAGTGCTCTATTATTAGCCACAATCTTAACTAACCATTCGTTTGTGAATCTCCATAGTCAAGTGATCATACATAAGGATTTTGAGTGCTCCGAAGTTCTGGACTTTTGTGTTTGGCTGTCGTTTTTCGTAAGAACTTTCGTAATATTCTTCACTAACAAACACATTTACTGTTGCAGATCTCCTGAGATGCTCAATTCACAGCAAAACTGTTGTATAATGTGAGGCAATATCATGTTTCAGACTATGTTTTCCTTGTCTACTTGATAGATATTCGTTTACGTTTAATAAAGTATATTTCCTTCAACTTGTAAGTTACCTGAGCCTTCAAGAAATGACATTCTCAATATTTGGAACTTAGTTTCTTGCTATAGCTTATGTATGATTATTGATAGTACTTGTTTATTGATGATTCATGAACATGATATGCTATATTTCCTTTGGTGGGTCAATCACATGTCCAGTAAGTGCTTGATTATTCATAGGCTGAGTGGTGATTCCAAAAGTCGCCACGCCTTATGCTGCAATGACTCGGTCCAATTTAAGTTAGGGTGAAGCACACAAATGGTCCATTGAGTATAGGGGTTGTTTTGTTAAGTCTCAAATTATTAGAAGTTACAAAATTATCTCCGATTATAAGGTGGTGTTTTGTTGAGTCATATGTTCTAAATGCGTTCTTTTTCATTAAAAGAGTTGACGTTAATTTGTTGATTAAGATATGATAAAATGTGATTCTAGAATCGTTTGCCTTGTATTTTGTGATTCGATTCTCTATTTAGATTACGTCGTTGAGTCAATGCTTAAAACATCATGTCATCGTGTCAGTGCTTAAAACATTATAACATTGAGTCAATGTTTGAAAGTAGCGATAGTATCTGTGAACATTATTAAAATATGATTTTATTATATCTCATGCAACAAGTTACGTTTAGTTTAGATGATTATTAATTTTTAGCTTAAAAGGTCGAGTTTGTATCATTTGAATAATCGGATGATCATCTTAATTTTTTAATAATAGTGGCTTCAACAAAATTGTGTCTAGTAATTGGAAATTATTTTATAATTTGTAATAGTAGAAGACTTAATAAAATAGTGTTTTGTAGTTTGGGGATCATTTGTATATTTTATCTTATAAATTATTAATATAATGTAAAAGCTTATCAACACTTTCAGACCCGTGTTATACCCAAAGTTCTCAGCATGGCCCTTGTATTATAATTTTGTTTTATCGTTTTACCATGACCCTTTTATTAAAAAAAAGAGTTACGTTGCCCTAACAAAACATACCAATTGTATAAATTTTGAGAAAAAAGTTTAGAAATCGTTTCTTACCAAAATTGTTATTATTACTCAATTTGTTTTAAATGATAGAAAACTATTAAATCATTAAAAAAATCATAAATTCATATTTTTATTTTAACAATCCCTAGAATAGTAGGTTAAAACCTCTCATTTGACACTTATTTCCTCTTTTAGGTTAGGGTTCAATACCCAAAAATAAAAAATTTTATTTCTCCCTAATTTAGGTAGTAACTGTTAAAAATAAAAAGGATTCTTATTTATTTATGATTTGAAATTTATGTTTTTTTAAAATAATATTTTTTTAGACGTGGTAGTCTTTCGTTGTGCCACATCTATTTTTTAATGGATATATATATATATATTGAACGGATAGATAGAGTTATCGTTTTAATCCAAGACGTTTGAAAATGAAATAAATTGGGTATCGGGTTAATAAATCATATATTAATGATTATAAAAAAAAGTAAGAAAAAGATGTTCAAGTGGCTAAGAACTTAGAAAGAAAAAAAAATACATGGACCAAAGGAAGAATTTTGGTAAAGGGATCTGATTGATATGAAGTATTGTCAAAATAAATAATCAAACACTCCATTTAAATCGTACAATGTTGAAAAAACAATTTCTCATTCCCAATCACGTTCTACCTTTGCCTCTATCAAATATCACTCATTCTAAACTCCATGGAAATACAATGCCCAACCTATTAATGGATGAATTGTACGAAGAATAACGACGAATGGAACTATATAGGCTCTGCTAGGATGGACCATATCGTTATAACCTTCACACCAATTTGCATCAAAGATGTGCTTTTATTTGCATTCTGGTAATATAGTTCAGAGATAGTGACAGATCCAAAAATATTTTAGGGTGCTTACTGTTCGAAAAATAGACTGCTGCAAAATGATGCATTAGCATTGATTGGAAATATTAAATAAAATATTTAAATGGAACGATAATCATGTCGTGCTAATCCACTGCCTTAGAAGGAAATTCACCCCGATGTGTGTAATCGCTATAATGTACGACCCCCCGGAGATTAGCACGACTGTCCAAATTTCATACACCCGAAAAGTGAAGTGGACTTTGGTAGTACTACTCTTCTCTCGAAATTCAGAATTAAAACTCAAAAACATCATGAAAACACTACGAAGAAAGAAAGTGTTTCAAAGCAAATATTTGCTTGGGATATATGAAAATGAGAAGATTTGCTCATTATTTAAAACCCAAACAGTGAAGGTAAAAATGTCATTTCATCCATTATCATTAAAGTGTCATTTAAACCAAAATTAAATAGCATTAAAAATGTTATTAATTCTAAGCATTAACAACATTCCCCACTAATGCAAAAGAACTATTTCGTAAAAAATGAGAGCATTGAAGTTAAAACACGAGAAGAACAATAGCGAGACTAGTCGCTTAAGCACTAGTGAACATATATGAAACTAGTACATAGTGATGATGAGTAATTCTTCTCTTAGATAAGTGAACGAATCTTGAACTTTCTAATGGCTGAACTTATAACCCACAACTAACCCTTTCATCCACCGAAATCCTCGATGCATCAACAAACTATATATACGAATGCATATATATATATATATATATAGCCATCTTTCATCATGATTCTAGTAAGTGTACTAGAAAAATGGCCCAACATTTTTCATAGAACGTGGCTAATCCTTCTCACTTACATAGGTTATTTCATCAAGTTTATCTTAACATAAACAACCTAAAATCGGGTTATTAAATAATTAAGAGCTTTTACAACAACTCATCCTTACAATAGGTAAGGTGAATTTCTTCAAGTTAATATTAAATGAACCCACGAAACTTTGTGATAAGAAATCATTAAAAATAAATATTCAACCTTATTAATCGATTAATTCAATATGTCCTTCTCACTAGGATCACCTAAACCTTGGGATTGTATTCATTAAGAGTTTAAGAAAACTCATCCTCCCTTGCGGTAAGTTCATCTAGTCTATTTGCAATGAGACTACCCACTCAACACTAGCTTATGAACTTATTAAGAGTAGATATTCAACCAAAATCGGTAAATTCATCAAGTCTTTCTCACTAAGACCACCAAATCCTAGGCTATAAATTTCTAAGAGCAATTAAGCTCATCCTATGCATGTACATTATTCGTCATAGGGATAGGTAGGTAGAAATGTACACTATGAGTCTTTTCATGGCTTCGTTTGACCTCATTGAACTTAGATAACTAAGCTGGGTATCCACCATGAATTCCTCAACCAATGATCTTTAGACCTATCCCCCTCAGCAAATGAAGAACTATTTCTAGCTTTAACCATTAGTTAGAGTATCAATTAGGCACCTCTCTAACTTTAATCAAAATTTTAAGACAACCCACATATCTAACATTTTTAGGATAGAAATAAATTCATAAGTGTCTTCAACAATGTGTGAATAAATTCTCTTACACATATACTCAATCATACTAGAGTAAAGTTTGTTATCATTTTTAATAAAACTATACTTTACCAAACTCAAATCTTGTTTACACATGATTATATTCTCAAAATTTTGAGAAATTACTATTCATAAAGATTAGTATTCATAATCTCAAACAATTACGAAATTCCTTATATCTTATTTTATTCCTCCATGACTTTGTTCATTCAAAAACAATTTCAATTTTTCCTAGTTCTTCATATGAAGTGTTTAGAAAATTATGAATATTACGAGGAGTTTTCAACTTTTCCTAACAATAGGAGATTATCTCAAGTTTTCTGCAATAAATTTCAACACAACTCATGATATAGACCATCTCTTTTCTTTCCTCTACCTTGGAAAAGAACTTTAACAAATTTAATAGCTACAACCAACTTTTAGTAGCACTAGTTTCTATCACATTCTCATTCATATTATTCAACATATTAGTCATAAAGAGACCATCACATATTTATTTACTATGACTAAATTTGGTATTTTACTCTTACAAATTAATCTCTAAACTTTTGACTTCTACACTAAGTTTAAAGAAATCTTAACTCGTCATAATATTTTATAAATTGAAATAGTGAGCATAGTAATGAAAAGTGCACCAAGTAGGTTTCTATGAAAGAGAGGTGGTGCACTAGCATGCTTAAGTACCATGTCTTCATAAAACCAATCTTAGACATGCACTTTCATATTCCTCACACTAATTTTCAATAAATTATGTATGAATTTTTTATTTTTTAAGGCCTCTTAAAGAATTATGTTTGATACTTTTACTCACAATAGTATATTATTAAGCATTCACATTTTGGGCTCAATGCTACCTTAGACTTAGTAGATTTCTACCTTAGTCTTTACTAGTGGTTTTTCTCATTCATAGTTTTCCACTAAGTTTAAAAGACTAACTTAAAGGCTCATTTAAACTAATTCTGTATCATTCTAAGCATGAATTAATATGCAACATGTCTAAATAATTTGACATCGTCCGTAGAATTATAACTCCCAAACATACTTGTTCATTCTTACCATAGGTGCAACTTTATTCTTTGCATCATCATCTTTTTCAAAATCTAACATGACAGTCACTTCATTTGAATTAACATCTTTATTGAATTGTTAATTATGTACTATAATGAAGATTTCACACTGTTAACCTAAAAAATGATTTACTAACAATAATAAATAATTGATAATAATGAAATCTTATATTCTCAATCATGTCTTTACATTCTAGCTTTATTAATTTCGCCTTCAACTCAAAATAATCCTCGGCGAATAAATTTCTAACGGTGATATTACCATTATAAATTTCTCAAAAGAAATTATTAGCATGATAAAAATAACTAACAAATATTTTTAACTTAAATTCTCGAGGCTAAATAATCTTACTCCCCATGGGAATAAATGATTTCATATCTCTATATGAATCAAATATCATACACTTCTTGATTATAACATACAAGTTTCAAAGAATATGAAATATCAATTCAAAGACTTTACTAGCTAACCGAATCAAAATAACTATTTGATATTTGTAAGGCAAAACGTTCTATACCTTTTGTAACCTTTCTAAAGCAATAGTAATCATAACG